TCTGCAAATCAGAGGGGACTGTTTCATAAATGTTTTTTTTCCACACCAAGCTACAGTACACAAAGAATGGGGCTTTCACAGTGGAGTAAGTTCTCCTACTCTTTCACAGCAGAGTAGGTTCTCCTATTCTGCAAAACCCCAGAAGCCGAGGTAATGCCTCATTAATAAAGATCAAAATTATCACTGTGTCCACTGTAAATTTACAGATGTTGAGGCTTTATACCTGTGGTATTTCAGCAGAGCCATTCCTGATTTGGTTTTGGTTTTCTAACAAAATGTGTCAAGTCTGTTTCTCTGTGCATAAGTGTGTGTCTGTCAGTCACCCTTGATAACTTTCAAGTCTAGCAGTCCAGCTCAGTCAAATTTGGCAGGGAAATATCTCTCTGAAATAACAGGCACAGCAGGAGAGGATAGAGACACTGCTCACAGGGACATCCTACAGTAAGGTTAATCCTTCCTGGACCTCAGAGATTACCCACTGTAATTGATTATTCAATCAATAAGTTATGGGAAAGCAAGCTTCACTGCTTCCCCTGATCACTGAAATATTTATTATCAGTATGAGAGGGACACCAGGCCTACATCTGCATACAGAGTCAGGGTACTGAGTGAAGTGGAGGTATATCCATCTCCTTGTGGCCAAACGTATTCCAGGCAAATATTCCTTGCACTGTGCACCAGAACTGGAGCACAACACAGCAAAGCAAACACAACCCCCTGCATGCCCCAGGAATGGGTGAAAAATGAACAGAATTGCTTGCCAATAATAAGAGTTGCAAATTTTTAAATCTTCTTACTTCAAAATGAGCCATAGGATAGGTCATATAATATATAATGGCAAAATGAATATATTATGAATGATTTATCATTATGGAAATGCAGAGATGCTTATTGGTGTCATGAGTCATATAACATGCAATTTTCACACAATATGTTGTTAATAATGGATAAGAATTTATAAGTATATTCTCATATGAAAAAGGAGCAATATTAAAACTTGTTCTTTCACTGGAATCAAATAACTGTGCATGTAGCTGCTTATGAAATTGAGCTACTTTTGCCATTACTACTAATTATATATAAATGTCAAATTTTTAAAGTATATCCATCAACTTGTCACAGATCGAATCCACCTTATTCTTATACCACTAAGCCAAAATGCTCCTACCTATATGCTAAAATGTGCTTACCTACATTAAATAAAGGGAAAACCAGAAGCAAACACTGCCTTCCATAGTCTCTAGTATGCACCAATGGGAACACTCTCAAATTGTCACTGCCTGTAAGGCTTGTTTCACATGTAGATGGCACAGCTCATTCCTACTGAACTGGGGAATTTTAAAAACAGAAGTCCAGTTATGTTAAAGTCCTCTGAATATCTTGGCTGACAAGTGATGTATGATGGCAAGAAAAAGCAAACGTAAGACCAAGGCTAAGAACACAAAAATTATTTTCAACAACACCCAGAGGTGTTTCCCTCCATGTGCCTTGATCCCTTTGTGGATCAAGCAGAAGCAATTAAAGAATAAATATCCCACTTCTACAACACAATGTGTCACCAATAAATGTGTCTTCCCTCTGCCAATAAATAATTTTAATTGATCATGACAGGATGCCTCAGCTGCCTCAGCTGGAAGTCAGCTGGGCCAGCTAATGCTGCTGCTGAAGTCATGATCACATTGATGAAGAGCACTCACGTTATCCATTCTGGTACTTGAGCAGTAGGGTCTGACAAGTCCTTCCTCATGAAGGTAATGAACAATCATTGTAATTTCTAGACTTGAAATTTCCAAGGAGTTCCTGCTGTAGAGCCATCAAAGGCAAATTAATTCATTAGAAAGTACGAAGACACACAAATCCCTGGCCTACAAAACACCTGAAAACTTCACTTTATGTTGATTAGAAAATCAACATACATAGGAGACAACCTGAATGCCAAGAAAACCTGATTTGGCATGGACAACAGCAATACATTTTCTTTTTCTGTCCAGGGAAAGCACAATTTGTATTCATGCCAAACTATGTAAGAGAGAACTTTTGGATCTTGCAAATACTGTTTAATTTAGAAGGCAAATATTTTCACAGAGTTAATTGCAAGGTCATTGATCAAGAGAGGTTCATAAAGCAGCAGCTAGATAAAAGGAAGGCCCAGTGGTAAATGACCACATTAGATAGATATTAGAGTATGAATTTGGCTCTTTATCGTTATTGTATGTCTTTATTGTTACCATAAAGTAAAGGAACCTGGAAAATCTGTCTACTGCCACAGATTGAAGCCCCCTGACATGAGGCTCCAGAGAGTCAGGAATCCACATTCAGCCCCTGGTGAAAAGAGACAATTGCTGCCCCTGACCTGCCAGAGCACTAAGAGGACATGGGCTCCTTCTAGAGGTCTCCTCCACTGCTGTTCTATTCCCCGTTTTCCAAATAATTTGGCTTAGATTTGCAAATACCAAAATTTTTGTATACCCAGAATTCCGTTTCCCTGCCATGTATCTTATTTAAAAACAGAAAGACAAGTCACCTGCTCTGAGAAAAGGACTCATACCAAGGCACTCTGAGGACAAATGCATCATCACGGATTCTTACATCCTGCATGCATGGTTTATGTGTGCTCATACAAGCCCTCTTCATGAATCACTACTGGCATCTTTTCCCTCCCTATCTGCCACACCCCACTCTGAAGCACCTTGTAGAACAGTCTCAGAGAATGCAAGGGGAACCACTGCCCCTTGAGACGACACAGAACTGTGGTTACTCCCATCACATGAGCCAGAAAAGGGATCTTGCAGCCCAGAAAGCCAACCATAACTTGGGCTGTATCAAAAGAAGTGTGGCCAGAAGGTGAGGGAGGTGACTCTGCCCCTCAACTCCACTCTCATGAGACTCCACCTGAATTATGGCATCCAGCTCTGGGCCACTGACATAATAAGGACATGGGGCTGTTGGAGTGGGTCCAGAGGGGAGCAATGAAGATGATCAGAGTGCTGGAGACCCTTTCCTATGAAGACAGGCTGAGAGAGCTGGGGTTGTTCAGCCTGGAGAAGGGAAGGCTCCAGGGAACCCTTAACCACCTTTGGGAGCCTACAGAAAGCTGGAGAGAGACTTTTTACAAGGGCCTGTAGTGAAAGGACAAGGGGAAATAGCTTTAGACTTAAAGAGAGTGGATTTGGATAAGATATGGGGAAGAAATTCTTCACTGTGAGGGTGGTGAGATGCTGGAACAGGTTGCCAAGAAAAGTTGTGGATATCCCATCCCTGGAAGTGGATGGCCAGCTTGGATGGGGCTCAGAGCAACCTGATCTAAGGGAAAGCACCCCCAACTATGGCATGGGGGGTTGGAACTAGATGATATTTAAGGTCCCTTCCAACTCAAAACCATCTATGGTTCTATGGTCTTTGAACCCAACCTTTTCTGCTATCAGACAGGGCCAGAAGGATTGCACACCATAAAGAAACAAGGAATACAAAAATGTAAATGTAAAAGTAATGGTACAACAGTAAAGTGACATACAAAAGCCAGTAAATTATTAAAATACACTCTTTTCTCACAGGAGGTCCTAATTATCTTACCGATACCATACTTATCTACTTTAGCAATTTGATGGACTCTGTTACGTAAAAAAGCACCAGAATCTTTGGCCCCTTCTCCATCTGGGGAAGTTCATCTAAGAGAAACTGTGCCCTTTTCACTTCCAGCTCTGTCAATGGGATTTCCTCCTGAAGGCTGCTTATGGCTTTCAGGATCTCAGTTTCAGAGAATCTAAGGTAGAAATGACTGCAGGCATGCACCCATCAAAACAGCCATTTTTTAATTAAAAACTGAGGTTAGCTGCAAATCCTTCAGCTTTACTGTGCAGCAAAGACAGTAACACACTGTCAACAGATAAACAGTCCATGCTGCCCCCAGCATAAAACATGTTCTCTTGGGACAACATTGTTAGTACTGTGATGGAATGGACATTTTACAACTCTGGTGTTGAATTGCAAAGTAACATGCCTAGAGTCCAATTTTCAGTGTGAGCACTTAATGCAAGCAATCAAATTTCCTCCATATGGAGCCGATTATAAGTACTAATTTAAATAAGTTCAAGAATTTAGGAATAACAAATGGAAGAACAACACAATATGCTTTTTTTCTAATATTAGCCTGGTTCACCAGCCTATCTACCAACCAATTCAATGTGTGCTTTAAGGGTAGGTTTAGTCTGCATCCTGAATCTCCTTCTGGGACAGAACACACATGGGCAGTCCAGTGCTTTCACTGTGTTCAGCTAAGTGGAAGATTAAAAACCACTGCTGGAAATTCGGCCTGAAAAATATAGATACAACATAACCTTTGCAATTTCTAAAAATTTACCTTATGGGCAGGGTTTTAAAAGCATGTACCTAACCCATTCTGAATGCAAATTAATATGTCAAATTTAGAGCACAGGCATTATGAACGTCAACAGATCACGTTGATGCATAACATCTCTTAGGATCTGATCAACAACCCCAATACTTGATTTTAATGGGAGAAATGTTCCTAGGTGCACATAAGTATAAACAAGCACTCAGTGGTCCAAAAGGATTGTTTAAGCAGAAGAATGCTTACATGGGAAAACTTCCTTTCATAGTTATTCTGAGGACACCGACACAAAAGAAAGAAACAAGGTGATTTTGTCTACTAGTGATGGAGCATTGTGGCTATTGTACATCTCTACTATTGTGGCTCTCAAATTCAGCTAATTAAGACATACTTCACCAGAACAAAATATTTGTAAAGTCAGCGTGTCCCTAACAAGGAGTTATGTTGTCTAAGACGCTTCACAAAAGAAATTCCCAACATTCTTCCAATATATTCAAATTATTTCCCTAATTAATACTGGGATTTGGAGCTTTAGAGACTGATGTCATGGTGAAATTATTTTTTTTTTGTTTTCTGATTATATAAAAAGATGGCAGTTTTATTTTCTGTACAGATTCTGAGCTCTCTAAGTTAGCTTAACTTGAGAAAAATGAAAGTCATTTCAACCAGGAAGTTTATTCTGTTTGCTTTAGCTACAGTGGTCTTTCTCACATCAAACAGCATGGGCCTAAATGAAGCAATGAAGTCCAGGCTGCAGAGCAGAGAAGACAATGATGATAAAGATTATGAGGTAAGATCTGCATTACTGTGACATTTTTTTGGGGGAACTTTGGGTGAGATCCTGAGCACACTGGATGTTTTTGGCATAGGCTGTCCTAAACTCATTCAACAGCATTCAGCATTACAGCACTAGCAGTATGAAAAAAAGCTTGGTAAAAGAATTTTTCAAGACATTTCTTTGCTCAAACACATCAGTTGATTGTGTAAATCAACTCATGTTCCAATTTTCTTGCAGTACATCTTCATGATTAGGCTGCAACTTTTTCTGAAAAGTTTCTTATTTACACAGTGAATCCTCAATTAGCATTCCTGTCAGGTGTTTTATGCATATAATATAACAGATAGATTGTTAATCCAAAATTAATAAAGGCATGCTTGTAATACTCAAAGAATAATGATAAACAGAGAACATTTTAAATCTAATATACTTAATGGCCTTAAAATTTTACTCTGGAAATTGCCTATAACAATTTCTTTGCAGGGTTGCACATTTATTATGCCTCAATAGGTGCCAAATGAAATTTGCACACTTCATCTGTATTATTTTTCATGTTTTCCCTGCAAATGCTCCCTAGGAAATGGGAGCCAACTTCTCTTTTTGACTTATCATCATTGGTATAATAAACATCCTTCAAAACAAAATAAAACAAAATACAAATTCAATTATGCTAGTCAAATCCTCTGGACTTGAGCTCACTATCTTTTATATACTTCCAGAAGCACTGTGCAGGTGCTATCAGAGGGATAGTTTATTTAAAGTTTAAATCATTAAGTGTGAACTAGAATGGCTCATTCCTGTTCTCTGCCAGTAACTGGAGTAGCTCACAGGGAAGACAAATAGGGATAAGGAAGTGAAATTATGATTAGTAGCATTTGTGTCTTTAACTGAAATTTAAATGCATATTTGTACATATTTGCAGTTAAGTTCTGGAAATTATTTTGGTCACAAAAGTAAGCTGTTTTCAATATGCCAAGGGAAGAACACTGCTCTCTAAGAAGGGTCATACAGATAAAGCTCTTTTTCAGGCAACAGCTGCCCTCAGCATCATGAGACAGGTAATACTCTAGGCTCAGTTCCTCACTGTATGACAGCATAGATACAGAAAGTGTGTTTCGTGCTGATTGCACAAAAAATTAGGAGCCCAGGAGCTCCCAATGTATCTTCTGGGCTAGTGGAGGACCAAAGCCATTTAAAGCTCAGGGCAACTTCTATGCTGCAAGGCCAGAACAGGCATGATGTCAACTTGACCCAAAAGCTTTCCATTCACTTCCCTGCCTGATAGCTTGGATGGATATTGTGTCCAAAGCATCTGCCCAGTGCTGAGAAAGAAATAAGCTGTACCTTCAGGTAGCTTGGTCCATCCTCCTGTTCATCCAGACCAGATGAGTCTGGGTCTGTGTGAAGTCACAAAATAAGTTCAGCATCTTCCACTTGAGAGAACTTCAGGTGATGGCACTAGCAAATGTGGGCCTGACAGCAGCTGCTGTCCCATCTTAACTGACTGCACAGGATCTGAGACCTGTGCCCAGAAATATTTCCAACTGACACCATTTGAGCTGAACCATTGGCTGACACTGATATGGGAATATGCTCTTGTGGTCAGAGCTCTGAAAAGATAAGCAGGACAATGTCAGCATATGAAGTAGTGAAGGAGCACACGTTACAGTGGAGTTTAGCAAATAGATCTAAAAAACATTTCATGTTCAAAAAAATAAGAGCATTGCCCAGCAGCTTTCTAAGGAGGTATGAAATTGAATACTTTGTGTCATTGGTAGCTGGAGTGATGCCCTATAAAATGATTATATCCTTTTCTCAATTATTTTTCTTTAGATTAAAGATAATATTTTGGAAGAAAAGCAGAGGAGTCTCAATTTTGAAGAAATGGAAGACTGGGGATCAAAAGATATCATCAAAATGAACCCTTTTACAGGAAGCAAGATGCCAAATTCAGTTGCTAATTTACCTCTTAGATCTGGAAGAAATTATCCAGAAGAAAGAAGCATTAAACCATTTTCAAATTTGCCCCTGAGATTTGGAAGAGCTTTTGGAGAGAACATACCTAATCATTCTCCAAGGGTATCACACAGGCTTGAGAGATCTCCCCTTGTTAAAGGTTCCAGTCAATCACTTCTAAATTTGCCACAGAGATTTGGGAAGTCACTGGCTGTCAATCTGCCTCGAGACGCTCAGGAATTCGAACCAGGTAATGCTACACAAGTGTTCAAGCCCCATATTAAAATGCATATTAAATCATAGGTTAGCAATGATTAAATACAGCTAGAATTCCTCTAGGAATATTCCTAAGCATTTCAATATGAGTTCAATTTGCCAAAAGAAAGATTGCAGTTCATCAAATCAAAAAGCCTCATAAAAAAGCAGTAGAGATGATCTTTTTATAAAACCTTTTTTAATGAGAAGGTGCCAAACAGCCAAATCTGAAAATGTTCACATGACAGGATGTGATGTGAATGCATTTGAGTCTTTTTTAGATCAGGTTTCATTTTGAACAGTCATAGCTTTGGTGAAGAAGGCTCAGAATCATTAAAATATCCCATTTCAGCACTATAAAATTACAAACTTACCTACAAATTACTCCTCAATTTTTTAAATTTATGCAAATTGCAGTTATAAAAGACAAAATTCCAAGCCAAACCGCAGCATTCTGAAAATTATTTTTTCTCATCCAATCCTACTTTTTCATATTTTCTTACTGAGACACTGTTTGAGATTTTGATTTTTCATTCCATGTTACCATGGAAAAATTTCTGTGACATCTCAGATTTTTTTTCAGCATAGAAAAACTATTTCCTGCTATTAGTAAGAATAATTTAAACCAGCTCTTCAACAACAGTCCTTCTTATCAAAACTGCTGCCTTACTGGAAGTGCCCATTTGTCTTGTAACCAAGATTCAGTTGGCTACCCCTGACCTCCATCTGACACATGAATAAAGTAGAAGTTCAGGCCAGAAAAGATAACAGGTATATTAGAAGCCAAGGTTCTCTCTCATTTAATTTGATTCCTTTCATTCCTTTCTCACTGTCTCACCTAATTATAACAGCTTTTGTTTTATTTGTCTGGTATTTTTAGGGATATGAATTCTAACACTTACATTAATACTGGAATGAAATTATGAAGACAGAATCTGAAAGACTTGGAAAAGCTGCAATGTGCTTTCAAAACTAAAGGTCACCAAAAGGAAATGTGTGAATTGAAATGCAAACCTGCCTTCATGTATGCATAATGTCTTTTTTTCTGTACATATAGGGCAATGATAATTGTAGTGATTGTTGTGGTAGTGTGCTTCAGTGGTGGTCTAGTATAATTCTATTTATTTCTGTGCTACTTATGTCCTATGGGCTGTAAAACCGAATTTCAGAACAATGGCTGTGTAATTTACAGCATTTAAAGCAGAATTTTAAAAAGCATAAAATTAATAAAGGTGCATGGTTCAAATAAAAAGAAGTCTACAATGTGAATAATAACAATGAGAAGCAGAATCAAAACTGCTGATAGCCTTTGTGTCATGAGCAGCTAAAAAAACCAAGTGTTGAGAAAACACTTTTCCTGGTTTTTATGGGTCATCTTGGATAAAAATCTGAAAGGCAACTTGTCTCTCTGGCAGCTGGCTCCTACACTTCTTCTTCAGCTCACAGCTTGTCCAGCTTTAAATTGACATTTAGAATCACACACACAAATGGGTGCCTTCAGCAGCAGCCCTTTGATGCTCAGTCTGTTCAACAGCTTGGAGCCAGACAATCTGTCTCTCTCCAGCTCCTGGCCCTCAGACCTGCAGGTCCCTTTGACTCCTCAGTTGCTGGCAACCAGATCACTCACTCTACTGTCCAGCCAGCCTGGCTTGAGGTGTGCTATCAGATCAAAGCCACCCATGTTCACAGTGTCCATGCACAGGTCCATTCAGAGCCTGCCTGAACCTCCTCAAGGCATTGAGTGGTTCTGTTTGAGTCCCATCAAGAAGTGGTCTGGGAGTTCTGCTCTTTGCTACTGTCCTGTTGCCTCCTCTTCCTCAGGGTTTGGATCTCTGAGAGTTTATTACTTCTCCTGTCTCTTGTCTTAGTCTTTATGCCGAAAAACCAGTTACCAGATGTCCTTACATTCCACATATCTTTACAAGAACCTGGAAAAAAACCCTATCAAACTGATCAGATCAATTCATAGATGGGACAGAGGCTGAGTTGCCATTCCTCCAGAAAGTTAATGAGGCTACAGGAAACACAACACTAGTCAACCTGTACCTGGTGAATCTAATTCAATCCAAAAGAATCAAACTATAGTCCTGGGAATATCTATTCTCTCTACTCACTCATACCTGAAATAACAAAGAGATAGAAAATTCTAAACAGATAAAAATCAGTGAGGTTACATCTTCTGAATGCAAGAGTCCCAAACCAATCTTTGGGTTTTTCTCTGAGCCTCAGAAAACACTTTACCTAACAAGTGCTGTTGAAAGACCTGTTTTGCAGTATAACACTCGGGTACAGCAGCCAGGTCCATGCTGAAGGACACTGGTCAACAAATTGTGTGTGGGGAAAGCCAAAGATCCAGGCTGTGAAGCAGAAGTCTTGCCATTGCCTACCACCAGAACAGGTGCCATTTATTCCTCAGTCATGAAAACCAGGATCTTTAAGTGATTTACAGTCAAATGGACCGGAGGAGGAAATGCCATGAGCTTTGAGCTGTGTTTCTGGTCCTGCAAACCTCACTGCACATCATGTGAACCAAAAGGAAACAAGATTTGTGAGAATCCCTGAGCAGCAATAGAAGCTGCCTTTTTAAGGCACATATCACCTAGCAACAGGGAAAGGGTACACATCCATTGGCATTAATGATAGCTGCTGTGGGAGGAAAGCAGAAGCCCAAACACTGGCCCAGCAGCAGGTACAATTAAGTTGTCCTCTTATGGCAAGCTTCATAGCACGGATACAGGAGGTGGCTATTGATTTATTTTCCCTTAGCAGAGGAACTGCTAGCTGAAGAGTACATAAAGTAGGAATTATGCTATGCTGTGCAAAATTTCTGTTTGGCTTGAGAGCACATGAGCCAAGAAAACAATCACTGGATAGTGCAACAGGAGGAGCAGGGGCACCACAGGCAGCATACATTGCTCTGGCTATCACTCACTGGATTATTTATTATCCACATACAGATATTATTCATGAATTGGGAAAAAGCAAGGAAAGGACACAAGTAAATCAATTGACAGACTATTGGGACTTCCTGGCATGAATTCTTGTAGGGTTCAGGAGCTCCCAGCCCTCCTTGCCATACAAGTAATATTTATGCCTGTTATTAAAGTCTCCATGCAAAAAACACCAGGCTTATTTTAGGTTCTGACTTGATCTTATAGAGAAGACAGCTGACAATGTACTGATTAATTTATAAGTCCAAAGGCTCATCATAGGGTTGATTTCAATATATCATTTAGACAGATTTAGTGGAGTGTAAAGTGACACTTTTGGTTTATCCTCAGAAAGAATCAGACTTTTGAATCGTGTTTGAAATCTGTCAGTCTTAGATTCCTTTCAATTGCTTTTGCAAGTGCCTTTTGTATTTTTTTAGATATGAAAACTGGGCTATCCTTAGTAATGAGAGACCACTAGAAATTTCCAAACTTTAATCAAGACATTTTAAAAATTTCCCCAAGTTTAAGAGCACCTGTTAGCAGGAATTGGAAATGCTTTCATCAGTGCCACCCACAAAAGTACATCTGGCACGGATACCTTGACAGACACAGATGTCTGATTTGCATTTGTGCTGCTCTCCTGGTGACAGAATGTAGAAGGGCCTCAGCTAGTGACACTCAGATCTTTTGTAGCCCAGAGTTTTGATGAGAAAAATTTGTGCTACTAGGAAAGAAAAAAGAGGCTTACAGTATCTTTATGTGTATTTTATCTCATGAAAAATGGATAGAGCAAAATACAATTTTCATCTCTTCATATCTGTGCACAATGTATTCTATGCAGTGGTTAGACAGAAGGTCAGTCCTGTGGCCTTACTCAGAACTGTATCCAATTAAAATTTTAGTGAAAACCAAAAAGAAAAAAAAAAAAGAAAAAAAAGAAAAAAAAAGAAAAAAAAAGAAAAAAAAGAACAAGAAAGAAAAAAAAAAGGGTTTCTCTTACAGTTGTCATACAAATTATCCACTTATATCCCTAGAGTTAACTGGTAGAAGAAATATTCTAGATTGGTTTTCAGAAAACTCAGACACCTCTGTAGGCTATCATTCTACTTGAAATACTGAAAAAAAGTATATGGTGATGACAGATTTCTAAATCCAGAAGTTATTAAATGCTATTCAAGTTCATTCCATCCTTTTATTACCATCCTCCAACATGCTGATAATGCATAAAGTCAAATGAAAAACAGAAGGGTACTTCCATTGTTTAGCAGGTCTTAAAAAAGGAGTCAGGTGTTTAAGAGAGACATAGGTCAGAAAAACCTTGCACAGGAAAATTCATTTTGCTACATCCCAAATTTTCAGAGGCACCCAAGTACTGCTTTGTCTCACACAGCAATACCTCAGCAGCTAATTATTTCTTTTCAGGCCATGCTTTCAACAGGAGGTTGGCCATGCTTTCAACAGGAGGCTGGACCACATGATTTCCTTTCTCCTCACATGTATTTGATACCTCAGCCACACTGAAAGAAATGTTTAAATAATGGAAACTGGAGCTAAACTTCACATGCTGCACATTGTAGCACAAATGCACAGACATGCAGCAATGCAATATGAGTGTTGTAGGGCACACAGAGCCATGTAGTTGTCTTTGCAAATTTGGGCATATACAGGTAACAAGTAATAGATGAAAAAGGGTTCAAAACCAGAAGCAACTATTAGGAATGCTGTAAACCAAAACTTTGCTTGGGTTTCGACCCTCAATTCCTAAGGCCACCTCACCTACATGAAAGAAAACATTAAATCAGTTTGCCTTACTGAGGTTCAAAGTATGTCATAAATCTCTGAGGAGCTTTATATCAAAGTTATCAGTTGAAAACAGATTTACAGTTTGTGGAGATGCTTGTGGTGGGCTGATCCCAAAATCACCATATCACTTCCATCTTCAGCTCAACAATTAAGAAAAAAAATAACAAAAGTCTCACAGATGAAGACAAGGAAGATCACTCCCAAATTCTCTGCCTCCACCTCCTCCATCCCTGCAGTGCAGGGATTGGGGATTGGGGTCAGTAAACCAAGTGATGTTTCTGCCATTCCTTCCCCCTCAGGGGGAGGACTCCTCACATTGTTCCTCTGCTCCACTGTGGGGTCCCTCTTCCTGGAGACACTCCTCCATGGGCTTCTCCAGTATGAGTCCTTTCCATGGGTTGCCCATCTTCACAAAGTGCCACAGTGAGTCCCTGCCACGAGTGCTGTCCTGCAGGAACAGTGTCCAGTGTGGGTCCCTGCAGGGTCACAAGTCCTGCCAGCAAACCCACTCCATCACAGGCTTCCCACATGGGTCACAGCCTCTCTCTGGCATCCACTTGCTCCTCCATGGGGTGTAGGGGGACAGCCTGCCTCACCTGGGCCTGCAGGATACAGGGGGATCTCTGCTCCAAGACCTGGAGCACTGCCCTGGATTGTCAAGGAAATTGTATTCTATTTGCCATCTGTATGGCAGTTGTCTTCTGTTAAGTGCAGTGTTCCTTATCTCTTTCACAACTGGGGTGACATCTGCTGATAACAGGCTATTGAATGTCACTGCATGACTGATAAGAACTATCAGTCATCCCTTGTGAGATGCTTTGCCCAGAGGGAAGAGCCAAGCATTGTTACCTAGATGTAATCTTGAGATTCTGGAACACCAGCAAGGCTTCTCTGCTGGATTTCTCAGAGGAACAGCAGTTGCCTCTTCTTCCACTAGATTTTGAGAGGAAGAATACACCCTTTTCCACAGGATCCCTGCTCTAGCAGAACCACACCTGACACTCCAGGAGGACAGCAGCCACATTTCCAATTGGACTGTTACCAACACCCTGACCAACAGGGTGTCAGGTTGGGTACTGACCCTGCCAGTGTTGTTCTAGTGTACTGCATTGTTTATTTTATGTTTTTATTTTCTTCCCTATTAAAGAACTGTTATTTCCTGCTCCCATATTTTTTGCCTGAGAGCCCCTTAATTT